ATATAGGAATCAAATTACATTTTTTTCAGCTGCAGCTAGACATGTAACATAGTCTGAGTGTTGACGAAGTGTCCTGGTACAAATCCCATCAGACAAGCAATTCCATGTCTGGCATATCACATGGAAAGAGCACATGTCAATACTTAACAAACTAAAAAGAGAACAGCTACATGTCATACACCAATTAACAACAAACCTTCAAAGTAGTGTCTGATGAGCAGGAAACAAGTGTATTTTCACCAGCAATTACAGTATCATTTACCTGCACAAGGAAATTCTCAATCATAATTTACACAATTACAGAGATGTATGTTATATAAGATAATTAGATGGTGAATTTAACGAAGTGAAGTAAAAGAAGACAAAAAAAGCTCTCAACATTCAAATTGACTACTATAAATGTAATTGACGTGCAACATGAATACTTAATCTAGATGTTACTTTTGGTGAGCAGGTGGGTTAATAAGCAATCATTCGTATAATCATATTGATAACAAATCAAGATATTTGCATTGCAGTATACCAAAAGATTAATAATTAAATTATCATATGCTTCCAACAAAAAGTTAGCAATAAAAAGAAACCGTCTAAAATATGGTGGTCATGCTCAGAGAAAAAAAAAAGGTACCCAGTCAACATGTGACTCAAATGTAGCAGAACAAGTGGCAGCATCTTCTCCCAGTGCCCATCTCTTAAGCGTGCCATCACGGCTTCCAGTGAAGAGATAGTTGCACCCATCAGAGACAGATGACTTTAGCACAGCCAAACAATTTATGCCAGCAGAATGCTGCAATATATATATATATATATATATATACGTATATCAAAGTAGAGAAACATCAGTGCCTAGATTCAATACCCAAAATAAAGTGATAAAATGCAAATCATAAGCAAAGTTATCCAAGCTTATTGTGAACATGATTGCCCTATATTATTGTATAATGATAGAAGCATGGATAATATAAATAATTAGTTACTAAAAACACATACCGTTAATTTTCATTTTAATTTAGTATGAGCATAAACTTTATAAATAATATGTGTTCTCTCACGGTAGCCTACTCCAGTTCCCTTAAGAAACATTTGTTATTGGTTAGCATACACTTTACATGTTTCGAGCAATTCACATGTCATCAACAAATGCTACAATTCTTGGATAAGAATCTACAACACACTAAAATGCCCTTTATGGCAATCCATTACTTCTACAGAGTCTAGGGTTCCTCAAACAATGTGATATCTTATACTTGAAACATCCTAACCCTTCCCTCTTTTGCTAAGATACAAAATGCTTTTTTTATGAGAATTATGGCCAATCCAAAGGATAAAATGCATTCAATAATGAGACTAGAAAAGCTGTATCTTGGAAAAGGATGTTTGCAAGCTCCAAACCCAAATAGATTTCAAATACAGCAAGTTCATCATCATAGAAGATATACAATAAGAAGAATTTCTTACTCAATTTGATGAAAAACACATATAGCAATGAACTGTAAACCTAAACATGTAAAAGAAAAAAAACATACTTAAATGACTATTCCATGGATCATTATAAGTCTGAGAGCCTCCATCTTCAGGAATGCATACAATGAAAGAAATATATAAATAAAATATAGCAAGATTTTGTTTATTATATTATTTTATTATATTGGGTTTGTTTTTACTATAAGTTATAACAACACAGCAAAAAACAGTGAATAGCATGAAGAGGCAGCAGTGGTGCGCTTGTCGCCTTCTCCAAAAACTTCAAAAAGGAGCGCCTTAGTGAGCTTCCCGTTCCTCGCTCCACCTCTAACTCTAGGGACGTTTTTTCATTCGCCCATAAGTGCTTTGCGCCTTAGGCGCGCCTAGGTGCACTTTCTAAAACTAAGTAAACACCAATAATAAAAAATGCAACATCACAGTGAAAAACATAGATAAACAATTAGAATCCTAATAACATATGAGTAGGCAAATTCCTCAAGATCGCCAAATACCAAGGAAGACATCTAGTTCACTTCAAAAGGGAAAATAATTATATGCAGAACATACAAAAAGATAAAAAAAAAAAAAGAAGGAAAACATACACGCAGAGAGACACACACAAAAACAACTTCACCTTTGTGTCATCAGAATCATTCAATACATATGTCAGCCTCTTTTCTTTACGTGGGCGGTTAGAATTAGAATTGTTCCCAGCACTGGGCACTCGATGCATTGCAGTGACCCCTAGATAAAAAGTGAAATGAAAATTATATATTTCATTGCCCACTAAATATTTGAATATCAAAAGGACATATTATGTAAGAATATCCCGTATTATGCAATAAAAAGTCATCATCAACAACAACAACAATAATAATAATAATAAGATATAACTATTGAAATTTACCAAAGAAGACAGAATTATCTACTATTTTGAAAATAAAAATATTTCCACATGATTTTGCAGAAACTGATTGAATATTCACAACAAAACTCTCATTAAAATCAAGTTTTTTTTTATAAAAACGCAAGTATTGCAACTAAAATTTGAATTCTACTCTTAATTGAACATGGTTTCTAAAATTGCGATGAACACGATGAAAATTCAGACACTTAACCAAAGTTATCAAACTATATAAATTAATCTTTAAAAAAAAAAACTAGTTAAATTAATATTAAAAAGAAATCATTCATATAAACAAGCTATCCGTAAAAAGAAAAAGAAAATCTAACCAAAATTAAGTCAACTAAAGAAATACATAGATAAGCAAACCAAAAAATATGGCAGAGACCCCGCGAATTCAATGACCGGAGAAAAAAAACAAAATGAGAAAAAAAAGTGAGGAGACTAAGCTTTGAACTTACCGAGACAGTTTGAAGAAGAAATCGAGGGTCGATTGAAATTAAACAGTGGCAATAAGGGAGAGATTAATTAAACCCTAGAATATTTTAGTGCGTCTCGGAATTTGATTATTTATTTATTTATTTCGTTTGCGTTGAAAGATCTATGAGAAGAAGAAACAGAGCTTTAGGCGAAGAGATGATCATTAAATAAATAAACAAATAAATAAATTGAGGAGGAAGAAAAAACTCTTCTCGTCAAAACCGAACTTGAAAGTCAAAAGAGGAAGGTGTGGGAAAATAGGAGTGGGAGTGGCTTATCGGTGTTGAGGGAAAACCGGTCCGACGACGCCGTTTAAGAAACATCAAGACCTTTTGTAGGAGATAATTACTATACCTGTCCCATGCCCCAATCCGAGGATTTCGATTAGTAATGCTGATCTTCCGAGTGTTAATTAAAAGGGTAAACTACACAATGTTCACTCGACTATAGGATATTACTTTTCTGAGCTCCTCAACTATTAAAAATTATAAAATTATCTCTCAATATAGGACGTTATTTTTTTAGTCTCCCTACAATTAAAAGTTATAAAATGGTCAATCAACTATTGATATATTCCAAAATCATCATTTTTCGTTAAAAAATAATGATAATCTGAGTTGGATATATTAACTTGCTGACTGGAATATGGTAAAATCTGATATCATAATCTCGAACGATTATATAGCTAAAATGGTTTTAGGACCAATTTTTTCATATCTCAATCAATAGATTAATGTATAGCTCAGGTGACTGTCATTTTTTCTAACAAAAAATGAATAGTTTTAGAAAATATGAATAGTCAATGACCATTTTGTAAATTTTAATAATCGAGGGACTCAACAAAGTAATATCCTATAATTAATGGATCATTTTGTAACTTTTAATAATTTTTTTAAGAAAATGGCATCATTAAAAACTTTTTTTTAGAAACTACAAGGGGAAAGAGTGCCTAAAAAATATTAACCAGGATCAATGACATGAGTTACAACAGAGATAATAATCTCGGGACAAACTGAGTCAAAAAACAACACATTTCTTGATCCAAGTGCCCAGGATGCTAACTCATTGGACACCTTATTACAAATACACGGGACAAAAACAACTTTAAAAGATACATTAGAATGCAAACTGGATTAAGTTTCAGCCAGATGAAATCTTAAAATGGACAAATCTACCACGTCAAGAGATAATTTATTAGCTACCATTGTCGAATCAGTCTCAAACACAACTTGATGCCAATCGAAGACTCAACAAAGCAATACCTTTTATAGTCAATGGACCATTTGTGTAATTACCCTAATTAAAAACAAGTAGGTTTAGGGTAAACTAAGAATATAGTCATCACCTATTTATATAGTTCATTTTTGATTAACTAACTATTTATTTTTTTAAATCACATTTGACATTACATTGTAATTTTGTTTTAGTAATTCATCGTTAAAAGAATTAACAATAATATTTATGTTTTATCGTAAAGTAGTGTCATGTCATTATTGAAAAAAAGTAAGAGTAAACTATACAAATGGTCATTAATATTTGAGTAAATTTTTATTTTTCTACTAAAATTTCAAAAATAACATATTGGTCACTAACGTTATCAATTTATAACAAAATAGTCACCTCACCGTTATCTCATTAAATTGTTAATATGGAAACATTAATATAGAAGTTAATATTTAATTTTACCTCTAAATTATTATTAAAATATCAAATAAATTATTAAACAATAATTTTATATCTAATTTATTCCTTCACCACCATCGTTGTATTTCTCCCCTCCGCTTTTCCCACCTCATTAGCTCTGAAATCCAAACACAGTCATCTACGACTTAAAAATAAAACCCATCAAAATAGAAGAAAATTAAACATAAACAACTTTTTGAGTAGTTTTTTTCTATGAAAACAATTTTTAGAATTTTAAACAAAAGTAACTTTTGTGTAATTTTCGATGATGGGTTGTATTTTTAAATTAATAATTTTTAGTAGTTTATTTAAATATTTATATAAATATAATTGATTGACAACGTAGAATTTATTCAATACCAATTCGGTTAATCGCTTATTATATTTATCAGACACGTTCGAATCCGAATAACATTGCAAAAAGTACAAATAAAAAGCGACGAGCAATGGCATAATGCAAAGCAAACAGATTTTGGGGACGAGGATAATAACGCCATTAATGAATGGGCATGTTTTCTGTTTCATGCCTTAGGGATTCAAACAATTCAGACGACAGGGAACGCTCACCGGCACTGGGGAAAATTACCTGAGAAAAGAAGAAGAAGAAGAAGAAGAAGCTCAAGAATCAAGAAAATTAACGAACACATCCCAGGATTTCAAAAGCATTATATTTGTTGATCGGTGATACAAGCTCTTGATGTGATGAAACTATGCAAGTTATCTGGATAATTTCGAGAATTGTCATAACCCATAGGAGATATGAAGATGGAGAAGTGAATGCAACTCACAACTGTAAGTTTGCTAATATTTTCTGGCCTCTTTGCCAACTTAAATGCAGCTGTTGCAGCAGCACCAGATGATAATGTTAGAAAAAATGTTAATCCGAGATAAAAAATAAAAATAATAAAAAATATTATTATATAATCGAACAAAACAAAATAAATAAAACTTAAATTAGAGGCAAGAAATTGGTTTACTCATATTTAGACAATGAATCGGATGAGTAGAGTACGATAAACCGAAGAAGGATTTTTGTTGAGACCTGTATGAATAGATTCCTTAAGACAGATTCGTCATCTCCTCGGTGCTTTAAGTAATGTTGGACGTCGGTCTCCCAGGATACAACAAACGATCACAACAGTAGCACAACCGTAGTGATAAGTCGAACACAATCTTGCCTTCTCTATCACCAGAAAGAACGAATTTGAAATGAATTTTCTAAGTGATTTCCTAATTCAACTTTGTGAAGTGTGTCTCAAAGTTGTCTCTCAAAGTTGTTTCTAAGATTGTGCCTCAACTAACCTATGTATATAGGGGAGAGAAAATCAATCAAAAGGTTATGACCTTTTGATGAAGAAATTTGTTAAAAAGTTAATAGGTATAATTGAATTGATGCAATTTTATACTAAATAATAAGTCTGTTCACCAAGTGACATAACTTATTATTAAAAGACATCAATTTTATTCAATTATTTATTAATTTTTCCAACACATAAACCAACCCATCAGGATTGATTCATTTGAGCAAACAAATGAGGAAACACTAAGAACAAGTGATCAAGACTGGTCGTAAGAATCGATTAATGATTATGAACATACCAGCAAACCTTCTTTCAGGGCTAGGAATTTCAATGGCCTCGTCACCAGATATCTAACAAGTTACAGACAGTAGCAAGTATAAATATATGGAATAGGAAATTACTGCGGGAACATACTCGAAAATCAATGTATCAGATGATGCTTTTGAGACCTACCTGGATAACTTCGTCGAGGATGCCAACATCCAAAACATCAGGGATGAGGGCCTTTGACAAGCATGGCACAGGCAATATCGAAAGAGGTTGAGTGGTTGACAATGGCAGCAAAAAGGTAGAAAAGAAGAATGCAGGGTGAAAAGACTTGAAAAACTTACCTGGTTTTCCACCATTCAAGAATGGACTTTCGGCGGGTTCTACTCCATATACCTATATGTATAGGAAAGAATAAATTTTTCTCACTAACATGAAAACAAGACATTTGCTTTTGTTGTCTGAATTTGAGTTTCAATGGGGAGCAAACCTTGATATCTGAGTTTTTCTCTTTGAGGAATTTCCCTGTACCTGTGATTGTAACGCCAGTATCTACGCCTGCAACTAGTACATCAACTTTCCCTTTCGAGTCTCTCCATATATATCTCCGGACCGGTGGTTTCGTAATGAATCTTAAACAAAGAATTAAATACTTGTTTTAGACATCACCTCATGAGACATTAGAAATGCTATAACAGTAGAGATGCTACCTGTGGATTGGAAGGGTTTTCGAATTGCTGTAGCATGTGACCATTAGGTGTGCTCCTCAATATCTCGTTAGCCTTTTCTATTACGGCTTGAATGCCCTTGGTCGGGTTTGTGAGGTATACCTCATCTCCGAGAGCTCGAAGAACGATTCTCCTTTGGATGTTCACAGAAGCTGGCAATGCGACAATAACTTTGTAACCCCAGGCAGCCCCAATGAAAGCCAATCCAATGCCAGTATTACCACTGATAGGCTCGATTTGGACACTCTTTAGCCAGCATTGTTTCGATATATGCAGAACAAATGGGAAGTTCATTAGCATTAACCCGAAAGCTAAACCGAGCAAAGAATCTTCGAATACGGTATTATACCTTCCCTGGTGTAATCAAGCCCTTGTCTTCTGCATCTTTAATCATACTATAAGCAACCCTGTGGATCAATAAACATCGACAAAAAGGTGTTAATTTGCAAGCAATAGTTTGCCTTTGCCCAGATTATGTGGAGAATATGCAAATCGAATGTAAATAAAAGGCATATGCCTGTCTTTAACACTGGAGCAAGGTTCCATAAGCTCGAGCTTGGTAGCAATTCGAGCTCCACAACCATCGGTGATATTGTTCAGATATACCATTGGCGTATCACCTATTAACTGCATAACCCAAGAACATTAAATCAAGTTGCAGTAGACTAATGGCAACATGAAGACTTAAATCATTGAGAGAGAGAGAAAAAACATTACTTCAGTAACATCATTCTTGATTGCACATTTGTCATACATGGCGAGTTCTCGGCATTTAACCGAAAAGACCGGCAATTTAACAAAAGAAAACAAGTGGTTTTTAGTGCAAAGCCCAAGCTTCTGAACTGTTTATAAAGGGCATAAACCAGCTCAGATAACATAAGAATAGGCAAGAAATTATTTGTTTACCAAGCTGTGGCAACTTATAAAGAATCAAACAACTGAAAATATATAATCAAAACAAGTAAAGCAGCCACTGAATATTGGATATTTCAACAAGAAACAAGGTCAGATCTGCATGTATTTTTCATAAATCAATAAATACACTAAATCTCATCAAAATTTGCCTTAAAATAAGCAACTCTTGCCTCAAAGATGAGCTTAACAGGTGTGTGTATTATATTTTGTTAGTTAATTGTTTCCATGCACGTGATTAACAACTAGTTAAAAGAGAAAAAGACAAGGACATGTGTTCCTTTTTTTTTCAACGAATGATTATAAAGTATTATTTGTTTATAGTTTTCTTAACTAACAATGCTCACGCACTCTACAAACACAAATACTAGAATCCAAAATCTAAAAAAAATAACATTTCCTTTAATCACTCAATGAGTCCGCTTGAATACTTGATTTGTTAAAAAAAATAACATGTTTATTAGATATATAAAAATATATACCTTGCATACAACTAGTTCTCAAAATGCGGACGGCCCTTGAATGATATAAAAGGCAAAAGTTAATACTAATTGTGAAAATGTCACGTATATTTAACATCATTCATGTATACATTTCCAAAAACATATTCAATGACCACATGCTTATATACGAATATATGTTAACATTAATACATTTCCAAAAACATATGGCCAAAAATCACATGTTAATGTAAAAGATTAGCATCAATTAATCTTGAGCTATTAGTTGGCTATTCTGTCCTTAATTATAGCTGGATATAATGTTAAAAAGATTCGTTTATAAGACAAAAATATAATAATAAAAACACCCATGGATTTTAGTATTTTATATTTTTATAAATTAGAAGTGAAGTGATTGTTGGGCCGAAAAGATTCGGTTTTTACAGGGTTAAGTGCCTGAGTTTAACAACTTTTTTTTGGGTTCAAAATACAAAATTATATTGAAGAGCATAGCTCATGGCAATCAACATATAAATATTCACGTAAATTTTGGGTTTAATGATAGTGCACCACTAAACGGGTATGATATTGAACATTTAATGCAAGTAAATTAAGTATAAAATATAAAACATCTAAGATATATTTCATAACACATAGTGTAATATCCCAAATTTTGGACTAATGACTGAATGTAAAAAAATTGAAAGTTTAGGGACCAAAGTGTAAAGTTGTAAAAGTATAGAGACAAAAAAATAAAAATTTTCAAAAATTATATTTGGGTTTCTAAATAAGTAGTTCAGCCCAAGACAATTATTGTAGTGGGTTTCATATTTTTGTATGGAGAGTGCATAAAAAATTATTAAATGATAAAGATCAGAAGGATATTAGGATAGTCGGATCAATATGAATTCTACAAAAATTTGAAGGAATGTAATTTTGGGTTAGAAAAATTATATGGATATTTTTAATTAGATGAATTTAAGTTGGATTGGTGGAATTTGGTGAGAATTGCATTATAAAGTAAGATAGTGCAATTTAGTGATTAAATGAAATTTTGGAAAATTGGAGGGTCAAAAAGAAAATTGAGAGATGAGATTTTATAGTTATTTAATGATATTAAAATGGAGGTGAAGGAGTGGCATGAGAGTAAATTTAGGAATTCATTAATGGCAATTTAGGCTTTTTGGCCCAAAATGAATAAAAAAAATCATTTTTATTTGATTTTTAAAGGTTAAATTAGGAGATTTTTTTTAGAATTCTCTTGAAATTATTCTCCTCCAGCAAGTTGCCGAAACCTCCATAGTCAAATGTAAGTTTGTTTTTCCCTCAACTTTTGGTCCAATTTATTAGGATTTTGGATTAAAGTGTGAAAAAAAAATCTACATTAGTTTCTCTACAATTTGGCGTAATTATTTATTTGTTTCATGCTTGAATGGTGGAAGTGGGTGATTTATGTGGATAAAGGGGAGACTTGAATTCATTGAAATTCATTGAAGTAAAGTTAGAAATGAATGTTAGGAGTGTTGTAGAACAAGATACTAACATGAAATTGGATTGAAAATCATTAGAAACCAAGAGTGGGATTTTTGGTCATTGATGAAGTTGTTAGGAACCTGATTGAATTTGATTTGTTTTGCTGTGAATTTGGTTGGAATGGATTGGAAATAGTGTGTTGATGATTAAATTGTGATTAAATCAAATAGGATACCATTATGGGGAATGTTGTAAAGTTTCAGCTAAATGGAGAAATTAGGGGGAATTTTGTAAAATTTTCCTATTGGATTAGATTGAATGTAAGAATGATTCTAGGTACTTGAAATGATGTTTGGAGCCAAATTGGAACTTTATTATACCTTGAGGGACCTTTTCACATAGTATGACAACTTAAAAGGGTAATGTGCAATTATTGAGAATTTAAGGTACTATGCTGAATTTAGTATTAGAATAGTAAATTGGACTATTTTGGAAGAGTTTATAGGTTTAGGGACTCAATTGAAAGTTTGAAGGAAGTTTGGTGGTGAAATGGTGAAAATATCAAATTAAAGGGATATTGGATAAAGAATGAAATTTAAAGGGACTTGGAAGGGAATGTTAAATGAAATAAAGTTGATTTAAATTAAAGGAGAGAAATTAGTTTCGAATATATAAATCGCTTGTTTTTTTAGGAAGTTATTTGAATATATATGATTATTATATTATTTAAAGTACTAATTCGTATTCAAAATTATTTATGTCGGAAAATTCATGTAGTGTACAACAAAAATAACATTAAAGCGTAGTGAGGCAACATGTGATTGCAATTAATTTTTTAATGAAACAATTCGAGGAAGACTTACGATGAGTTAACATCGATCATTTTTATTTAAAAGGTTTTTTTAAGTAGTAATTAAGCATAGATTTTCTCAAATTGTTTATTTTATATTGTATGATTATTTTGGGTATGAACTGCTCAATACAATGTTTACGAGATTTTATTCGAATTGAATATATGATTAGATTACATGCAAAATAGCATATGATTTTTAGTAAGAAGTGGGAGTTAATGGTATAATTGTCATTCAAAGAGGTGGAGTGAACAAGTACAAGCTTACGAGTTGCACCATTATAAATTGTTCATATGACTCGTGTGCCTTAGTGGTGTCGAGGTAGAGTGATCTGGTGCAATCTACAGGGTATTTGATATGTTATATGATACGATACTGTTACTCATATGACTCAGGTGTCTTAATGATACTCGAGGTGGAGTAACCTAATACACTTTACGCGTATTACTAGTAGCAGTTTCGACTGCATAGTAGGTCCTCAATCATATGACTCACGTACCATAGATTTCTCATGACAACACAGTGGACAACGATACAGATTAAAAATAGAAAAGTATATATTTGATACATAATTTAAAGTAAATGATTTTAATAATTGTTTTTATTTTATTTTATGCATGATTATTAAAACAATGTCTTTATATATGATTGTTTATTTTATATGTTATTTATCTTATAACTTGTCTCACTAAGTGGAATATTTAGCATGCGATTGGTTAATACATAGGGAAACCTACTTCAGCAAAGTAAGGAGTCAGACAGGACATCCAACATTTTAACAGACCAGTTCAGACATCCAAAATAAATATGACATCTTTATGATGTTTTTGATATTCATAGTTGACATGTATATTTTTTTTATGCTCTGATTTAAATATGCCTGGACTCTTTTTGATCATACGATGAATGAATAATATTTTAAATATATTATATTATATTTTTAAAATGTTATTTCAATTATTTTAAATATCGATTTTAAATGTGTAGACACTAATTTTCGTCCCATTTTTTTGTAGTTTGAAAACATTTTTTAAAAATATATATAATATATAGTTTTGAAAATACGTTTGAAAATGTTTATATATTATATAATTTTTAAAACATTTTGAAAATATAAATATATAATTTTTAAAACGTTTTTGAAAATGTATATTATGTATATTTTAAAACATTATGAAAATAAATATAGTTTTTTTTAAAACATTTTGAAAACATATATTATATAGCTTTAAAATCATTTTGAAAACTTATATAGTATATAGTTTTAAAAACATTTTTGAAAACTATGTAGTTTTGAAAACATTTTTCACAAAATATATGATATATAATTTTAAAATATTTTTTTTGAAAATATATATATATAAGCTTTTGGAAAATATTTTATTTTATCTTTATTATTATTATTATTTTTTTATTTTTATTTTATTAATTTCATTTTTATTTTATTTTTCTTTCCAAGTTCAAAGTCAAGCAGTTAAGCAGGCCTGATCAACCTGGTAGGATTTAGGGTTTAGAAACCCTAAATGATAAGTTTTAACAACACCGCATGACCCACAACCGTCAAATCGAGATGTGATCAGTGGTCAACATTGCAAGGTATTTAGGGTTTGATTAACCCTAAAAAATCATCACTCCACGGCCAGATCTGGACCGTTAGATCTGACCCAATCCAACGGTCAAAGGTTCCAGAAGCAAGTAAAGCCACCAACAGCAGTCAAGAGACCACGCACCGATCATCGGGATTTCCGGCCGAGGGGATCGGGACTGACCCATCCCAAAATCCCCGGCCAACCACGATCGTGTTACCATGATCGTCGGAATGACCACCGGGGGGGGTATAAATACCCCCACCAAGCCACTGACAGGAGAGGACGTCATGCCAAACCCCCACAGTAATAAACAACCACATAGAGCCATCATAAACCAACCAACGTCGAAGAACCATAAAGCCAAACAAAACAGCATCATCAGAACAAAAAACCAGAATCTCAGTACCAGAGAACAACACAGAATCATCGAGAGAACAAGAACGAAACAACACAACAAAACACAACAAGTATCGAGCTAAAGCTGGAAACGAAAATAAAACCAAGCAACAACAGAAAAAAAACCAAAATATTTCAAAAGCCACCGGAAGGCAACGGTCACCGACGAAGAAGGTAAAAGCCGAGACTTTCGGTTTAGATCTACAACGATTCGTAAGATTTTTGGGGTTTTGGGTCTTGGGCAAGTGTTTAGGGTGACAAGGCGCACATTTTGGGGGTTTAGAATTTTTTTCGGCCACCGGAGGGGAGGTCATGGGCGTTTGACGGTGGTCGGCAGGTGGTCGGCTTCCCATTGACGGGGGAATGTAGAGAGGAAGCAGAGAGAGTCTCTGTTCTCTCATTTGAAGAGAGAGAACCAATTTGAGAAAATGAGAGAAGATGGTCTTGAAAGGTCGGTTTTGTGGGTTTAAAAACCCCTCCCATGCGACGTCATTTTTAGGGAAGGGGCTTCTATAAATTTCGATTGTGGGTAAACTTCACCAGTGACCCTTGGAAGTTTGAAACGTTTACTTTTTAGCCACCAAATCTCATTTCTTAGTTTTGATTTAATCCATAAGCTTCGATTGGTTTCAATTTGATCCCTCAATTTTTATTTTTATTACTTTCCCCTTATTACACTTTTTCACTCTTTTTATGTTGTTTTATTTACTTTTAAAAGTTAATATTTTTTTATATTCGTTTTAATTATTATTATTTTTTAGTATTCCATTTTTTTATTTTTCCCTATTTCATTTTCTTCACTTTTTATCATTTTATTTTATTTCTTTATTTATTTTGACATTATTTTTTTATTTTATTTAATATTTTTGCCCTTCGATTTATATTCATTTGTTTCCTTTGATTATTTACTATTTGGGTATCTTTATTTTTTTTTTATCATCTATTGATTTTTTTTCTAACGTCTCCGACTCTTTGTTTTTAGTAATTTTAATCGATCAAAGGTAAACTATTCGAATATAATTTTTAAATTTTAATTTTAATTTATAATTTTCGCAATTAAAGACAACCGACAAATTAATTGGTACCGAAAGGGCGGTTCAAGGGTGCTAATCCTTTCTTGACAGTAACCGACTCCCGAACCCGACACGTTTATAGTAAAACGCAAATCAGGTAGGATGGTGTCCGACCCACCTAAATTCAATTTAAAATGGACGGTGGCGACTCCAATTTGTTTAATCCAAGTCGAAGCCGAATTCCGGGGCCCAACTGAAAGACAAATCCGACAGCTTGGCGACTCTGCGGGGGACAGGTAAGTGAGTCAGGATGAAATTAATTTTCGGTTGTCTTTTTTAGCGAAAGTTATAAATTTAAATTTTAATTTATTTATTCGATTCTAATTATTTACCTTTGATTATTTTTTCAAGTAAATAGTTGTACTAACGTTTTTTAATGATTTCAGAATTTTCAAAATTGTCATCTCTAGCTTTATACCGAGCTATGAACCCTATTTAAGTGGGGATGAAAGCGACGCCTTCGTGTGAATTTATTCACCATGCGGGCCTAGCAAGTAGCCTTCGGGATTAATATACCTTATGTCTTCTTGTGAATTTATTCACCGTGCGGGCATAAGGGAATGTTTTCTCTCGAGTTTAACTTAGTCCACACAAGCTTGTAATGGGCTTATGACTAAGGGTCTGGCAAGCCCAAGGGGGCACCAGCAAGGAGAACTCGAGTACCTTTTTAGAACCTAAACCGGGAGAATACAGGGAATTAGAGCCCACCTCAAGACCTCATTCCAAACCCTAGGCTGCTTTGTTTCCTGTTTTATTTTATATTCAAAGCATACGAATTAGACAAATATACGATTAGGATTTGTTTGAAATTAGCATGCGGGATAGAGATCATGTCCGGGTAGGAATTAAAACATGTGGGGTAGATATCATGTGGGGTAGGATTTTTCATTTTTATTATTGTTTTGATTTACCTCACTAACTCTTTTTATTTTTTGTTTTCCTTTATTTTGTTTTCATCATTTGCATCATTTAAAAGAGGTGTTGATCCACCAAAAACGTGTTTGTTAAACATGAATAATCTGCATTAATAGACAAAGGGGTTATAATACAAAGAGATGAAAAGCTTAGAAGTCCAGCCATGGTCAAAGAATACTCAGGGGAAAAGGTTGCAGGGGCAAGAGAGGAAAAGGTTACTGACCTGGAGAATCCCTTCAAAAACAACAAGAACAAGATGGCGAAACCCTAGCCAAGCTGGAGACCATTATTGACGAATTCAAGAAGCAAGCTTCAGATAGCTCCTATCAATTGAGGGCTCCAATGACGCTTTCATTTGGAATAAGCTCGGCATAGAGTGAAAGCCAGAGATGTAGTCATTCGAGACCTTTTTTGGGGCAAGCAGCTCGTCACTTGCACAGTCAAACCAAATGAACCGAAACGGTTCGACAGACGAAAGACGAATCAACTTGTCAAAAGATGTGCGGGATATACCATCAAAAAGTTTTTTGTCTCTTCAGACGTAACACTTTTGTCCCCAATAAGGATTATTCAGAATAACAAGCATATTTTTTGGATCAATGCCTCGAACATTGCATGCATTATGCATCTGGACATATTTTGCATTTTGTTATTTTTCTTTTTATTCGCATTAACTAACATATGCATGTCTCATAAAAAAAGGAACACATACTGGATACACCACCTCAAGCATTGGACACACCCCATACGCATAACACCCGCCTGAAAAAGAAGAATATGTAAGCAAGAATGGAGAAAATCGAGGAGAACATAGCAAAATTGCAGAAAGAACTTGAAGACAAGATAAACCAGAGTAGTATGAGTACTCTGAATACAATCATGAAAAACCAAGAGTCTTTGGTTGATCAGATCATTGCCAAGTTAGTTGGCTTACAGTAGACTAGTCCGCCTGGGGCAGGTTCACCGGAAGGGGTAACTATACCACCTACCCTACAAGTAGTTGTCTCACCTGAAATCTTACCGTAACTTCGAGGGGACTCATCTGCTATAAAAGCGAAGCTCTCGGCCTCTATATTTAACCCTGAGAACAATCCGAGTTATTACCATATACCGGATTCAGACGAAGAGGACAAATCAAGGAAGATGGAGGAGAAAATCAATAAATTAGTGTATCAAATGAAGGTAGTTAAAGGAGACCATGACTACCCTAGAATTGATACTGCGGAACTCAGTCTAGTCCTAGACTTAATTCTTCCTCCGAAATTTAAGTCCCCGAAATTTAAGAAGTTTGACGGGAATAGTTGTTCATCCGCTCACATCACAATCTTCTGTCGAAAGATGACAGGACATGGAGGAAATGACCAACTCCTGATCCACTGCTTCCAGGAGAGTCTATCGGGCTCAGCCATTCGGTGGTACAACCAGTTAAGCTGATCAAATATCAAGACCTGGAAGGACCTGGCCAAGTCATTTCTGGAACAATACAAGCATGTCAATGACATAAGGCCAGATCGAGTTATGCTACAAAGCATGGAAAAGAAGCATAACGAGAGTTTCAGGCAATACACACAAAAATAGAGGGACTTGGTTGTGCAAGTTCATCCACCGTTGGACGAAAAGGAAACCCAAAAACTTTTTGTACAGACCCTGAAGGCTCCATACTTCGGACACCTGGTTGCGATCACATCAGGAAGCTTTTCAGACTTGGTTATGGCCGGAGAAATGATTGAGTCGGCCATAAAGCAAGGCAAAATTAAGGATGGGGATGCCAGTAGAAAACCTCCTATACGAGAGCGAGATGGAGAGATTAACAACATCAACCATGCCAGTAAAGGTGTTACAATCTCCAAACTGAAATCAACTGCAGCTGTACCGTCAGATACTTCTAAACAAGATTCTAGAGAACCAAGGAGGGAAAGGGAACATTTCGACCCTATTCCCATGACCTACAAAGAGATTTACCATCAACTTCTTGACACCCATGTAGTGTCACCATACCCGGTGGAACTCATGAAGCCCCCATACCCCAAGTGGTATAATGAGAATGTGCATTGTGAATATCACGACGGTGTCCCAGGGCACACAATTGAGAATTGTTACGCATTCAAAAGAGTTGTACAGAAGATGTGTAACCAGAACTGGATCGACTTCAACAACTTGGGGGCATCCAAGTGAGGAAGATCATTTCATCATTTGAGGCATTCTGTTTGAACTTGTTTTTTTTTCACTTTTTCAAGTTTTTGTAAGAATATTTGAATAAATTTATGTTACTTTAATGATGACGAGCAATGAATCACATTTGTAAACTTACAATTCTTTGAATATCATTTTAAAAGTCTGTGAATGGTTCAAAGTTACGGATCTTTGACAAAGTAACATGTTTTAAAACAAGGACCTTGACCTTACCCAGAATATACCCTCAAACACCATACCTGTTCTTGCAATTAACCAATATAACATTTTCCTTTCATAAGGTACGGACAATATGGGGCATCCTTTTGCATATGACATTACTATGCTTTTTATTTAAGACGTTCAATGATGATCTTTATCTTTACAGATGGAATAGTCGAGTAAGTGAATCTAGTTTAGGTCAATTGCTTGAAAATTGAACTCTAAAGATGAAATTTTTGACTTTCAACAACACCTAGACTATAACAGGTTCTTCTTGACAATCTTAAGAAATAAATCCGTAAAGCTGAGCTATTCCACTAAGGTAATTGGTTATAGAGGAAACTTGAAAGCCCTGACATTATGAGTAGATTACGTTCAAACCATGACATTACTCGAACACTTGGCAATTCGGTGTTTGCTCCACTGCTATTGTCCGGTCGAAGACTTTGTGATGAGATGAACCCTTCAGTGAACTTGATAAAACTGATTATAATGTTAAGTTGTCCCTCTAAAGCAATTGGTTAAACGCCCTGGCTTTATGGATTTAGCTAGCTAGATAAGGACAAATTAAATCAAATTTATCTAAGCAAGAAATTTTCGGTAATGATGGACTAAGGGAGTTAGGGAACACCTGTTATAGTCAACTACACACGAGCACTCAAGAATTTCATTTTTAGACCGATATTTTTTGCACTGCCTTTGTTAGAGGAGCCTACAAAGCTTGAACAAATGGAAGATTTCAGAGAACTGAAATAAAAGGTCTAGTAATTGATCATGTTAGTTGCATCATTTTGTCTGCGCCCAATTGAAATGCCAAAGCATGTTGCGATATTTAAAAAAAAATGACATTTTGGGTTACCAAAACCTTAGAAAGTAGGCAACCTAAAGCCAACTCATCCATTTGAACATTTTTCAAAGAGCTGTAACTTTGAAAGAGTTAAAAGAGCTATTGATTCCTTTAATATTCTTTTAACTCACATTTATAATTTAATTCAATTGTGAACAATATTTTACAGAATTTTTATCTTTTTCCTCCTAAAACAAGAAAAAGGAGGAAAACATTTTCAAACAGGACAGTCTCAAATATGAAAGGTCTGTAAAGCCAAATCTCGAATGGGGCATGATCGATTCCATGGACCAGATTGACAGACAAAGCATGAGACTCCAATCCAAGAGATAGAACATAATTCATTCATGTTGCATGTATCTTAGCCATACTTAGGTGCATCACATTCATCATTTTTTAGCATACATGTTTTTTTACAGCTTTTAGAGTCAAGTTTCGACTTCAAGACGAAGGATACTCGATTCAAGAGTACATTTAAATATCGATGGTGGCTGCTTAACTCAGCAGCAAGAAGCTATCCCTCAACTAATTCGACAGATTGCAAGATTGATAATTTATTTTGAACAAATTCATTTCGGCTAAACTCAACAACGAGTAGCAGGTTTCCAGTTAACACTTTCAAGTCATATTTCAATTCCATGACGGAAGATATCCGGTGGACAGAATTTATCAGTATACTTTCCTGTGAAGAGGAGTCATACAAATAATCATATTACTTGGTTCAGGCCCGCTCAAAGGAACCTCCTAAGAATTATGACCGGCTTAGACCTGTGAAGGGAAGCCATTTTTTTAAGACAACATTTACGGCATAACTCAAGGCTAGAAGGGTTATCTGCCGACAAGGACCTTTGAGTTCGACTACGCTCAGCTCTAAGACGCATCATTTGCAACATAGCTCAAGGCAAGAAAGGCTATTTGCCAATAAAAGACCTTCGAGTTCGACTATGTTCAGCTCCAAGGCATATCATTTGCGGCATAAATTAAGTCGAGAAGGGTTATCTGCCAACCAAAGACCTTTGAGTTCGACTACGCTCAGCTCCAAGACACATTATTTGCAGAATAACTTAAGTCAAGAAGGGCTATCTGCCAAATACTCTCGAGTTCGATTACACTAAGCTTCGAGGGCACATCATTTACAGCATAACTCAAGGCTAGAAGGGTTATCTGTCACCAAAGACCTTCGAGTTGGACTACGCTCAGCTCTAAGGCACATCATTTACATCATAACTTAAGTCGAGAAGGGTTATCTGCCAAAAAAGACCTTTGAGTTAGATTACACTAAGCTCAACGGCATATCATTTGCGATATAACTCAAGGCTAGAAGGGTTGTCTACCAAAAACCTTCGAGTTCGACTACGCTCAACTCCAAGGCATATCATTTACAACATAGCTCAATGCAAGAAGGGTTATCTGTCAATAAAATTATCGAGTTCGATTCCATTCAGCTCGATGACACCTCAATCACTACTTTTCGACTGCAATCAAGGTTTTAAAGTTAAGAAAAAAACATGGGTTAACCGTGCCAGGGTGATAAAAACCCACTTTTCGGCAGAATAACTTAAGTCGAGAAAAGCTAGTTGTCAACGAAGACCTTTCGAGTTCGATTTCATTCGGTTCGAGTGCCTGTCAGCCACACAATGGAGTTAAAGAATTACTTTCCAATCAGATTTTTAACCAAGGTCTTTAAACCGAGGAGAAGACCGAGGTTGACTACAATTGGGCAACAAGAAGCCGCGTCCCGATTCAAATCCCGAACTACGGTTTCAATTCCATATCATTTCAAGATGGATTCGACTTCACGATGGAGGACCCATTTTTTTATAGTTTGAAAACATTTATATATTATATAATTTTTAAAACATTTTGAAAATAAATATAATATATAATTTTTTAAAATGTTTTTGAAAATGTATATTATGTAGTTTTTAAAACATTTTGAAAACAAATATAGTTTTTTTAAAACATTTTGAAAACATATATTATATAGCTTTAAAATCATTTTGAAAACTTATATAGTATATAGTTTTAAAAACATTTTTAAAAACTATGTAGTTTTGAAAACATTTTTCACAAAATATATGATATATAATTTTAAAATATTTTTTTGAAAATATATATTATATAAGCTTTTGGAAAATATTTTATTTTATCTTTATTATTATTATTATGTATTTCTTTTTATTTTATTTTATTTTATTAATTTCATTTTCATTTTATTTTTCTTTCCAGGTCCAAAGTCAAGCAGTTAAGCAGGCCTGATCTAGCCTGGTAGGATTTAGGGTTTGGAAACCCTTAATGATCAGTTTCAACAATGTCGCATGACCCATAACTATCAGATCGAGATGAGATTAATGGTCAATATTGTAAGGTATTTAGGGTTTGATTAACCCTAAAAAATCATCACTCCGCGGCCAGATCTGGACCGTTGGATCTGACCCAATCCAACGGTCAAGATCAAGTCAAAGGTTCCAGAAGCAAGTAACACCACCAATAGCAGTCAAGAGACCACACACCGGTCACCAGGATTTCTGGCCGAGGGGATCGGGACTGACCCATCCCGAAATCCCCGGCCAACCAACAACGATCGTGTTACCATGATCGTCGGAACGACCACCGGTGGGGGGTATAAATACCCCCACCAAGCCACTGACAGGAAATGACGACATGCCAAACCCCCACATTCATAAACAACCACAGTACACATAGAGCCATCATAAACCAATCAACGTCGAAGAACCACAAAGCCAAACAACACAGCATCATCGGAACAAAAAACCAGGATCTCAGTACCAGAGAACAACACAGAATCATCGAGAGAACAAGAACGAACAACACAGCAAAACACAACAAGTATCGAGCCAAAGCCGGAAACGAAAATAAAACCAAGCAACAACAGGAAAAAAACCAAAATATTTCAAAAGCCACCGGAAGGCAACGGTCACCGACGAAGAAGGTAAAAGCCGAGACTTTCAGTTTAGATCTACAACGATTTGTAAGATTTTTGGGGTTTTGGGTCTTAGGCAAGTGTTTAGGGTGACAAGGCGCACGTTTTAGGGGGTTTAGAATTTTTTTTTGGCCACCGGAGGTGGCGGTATTTGACGGTGGTCGGCAGGTGGCCGGCTTCCCATTGACGAGGAAATGTAGAGAGGAAACAGAGAGTCTATGTTCTCTCATTTGAAGAGAGAGAACCAATTTGAGCAAATGAGAGAAGATGGTCTTGAAAGGTCGGTTTTGTGGGTTTAAAAACCCCTCCTATGCGACGACGTTTTT